GAGAGAATGAAAAGATGAAAATAAAGTGTTTGTAGATGGGTAGGGGAGGAGGGGGTGAAGGGAGGGCAGAGGTAAGGGGAAAAAATGAGAATCAAGACTTGCCATGTAGAGGTACATGATCCCAACAATGAATGTAACTGTACTGTATCCCTAAAATGTACCAATAAACTCAATAAAATTAACAAAAAAAAATAGCACAAAGATTTCAAGACAAATAATTTGTTAATCCAAATATGTTGTGGATTATTGCCTTTCATGTTCCCTGTACTATTTTGAAGAGTTGGTATTGACACTTGGCACTTGTATATTAACAAATAAAAGCACAAATTCATAGAAAAACACAGATTTAATCTGAGTATACCATTGACAATAAGCACAGTCAACTTCTTATTCCTTAACATGTGTATTTCTATGGTAAAGGAAAAGTATATACAGCTCTTAATAAAACATGAAAGCTACTTTCTGTATAGTACAAGTACTCTGATGTACTCTAGAGTGGTAATAAAAGTCAAAATAGTTCACTAACACAAAAGCTAAACTACAAAAGACCAGTTGGACTTTGTTTCAATCATACTTTAAGTCTGCAAAGATAGTCAAGTTGTAATATTATTGATTTTTATTTCAGATAGTGTCCTCCCTTAGGGCATTATATTGTTGAATCAGATAGGGCTTTCCTTTACATCACTTCATGTAGGTTTTATAAATGAATGAAAACTTTGTTGGGTAGTGAGGCATGCTATACAAAACATTTTATGCTACAGAAGATAGCTTCAAAAATTTTAAGTTTCCTTCCCTTGCTACCTTAGTTTGCATTAGTTTGAAAGCTTATTGAAAAATGCTATACATATTTGCCTCTGTAAGTGAGATAGAGACAAAGAGGATCATCCAGGAGATGTTAGAACCACATGGATGTCACTAGAAGGGTGACTAATATGAGACATGCAGTCTCTGGGACCAGATATTCATAGTGCAATTGAGATAAATGGAGATAAGTGTTGAGAGGGATTTTTTTTCTAGCTAAGCAAAACAAGAAATTATTGACTTCACAGTGGATAAGTTAATAATAGTCTCAGAAGATAGAATAGAATGTACTGGTGAAAAAAAGCAGCATTTTATGTCTATTTAAAGTCTCTTAAATATAATTGCAAAACAAATAGAAAATCTTCAAGGCATTCCCCATATTTCTGGTTCTCAAATGTCTGTGTATGCCAGGATCATTTGTTAAAAGGCAGATTCCTAAGCTAGTCACTAACCTTGATGACTGAGATTTTCTGAAAGAAAGACTAGCTAATTCTGATGCAAATTGTGATTAAAACATTGCTAATCTATCATTTTTGCCAGCCCTTGCCCTAGGCTTTTAGAAAAAATGATACGGGTTCTAAGAGTAACACACCATTTTGATTTTTCTCTCCTGCTGTGTGCATTCATGGAAAGTGGTAATATTATTAGTACATTTAGTAGCAAGATATTTCTTAGGGATTTTATGTTACATTTATTCAATAATTGACCTTTGAATACTCCATTAAATGTGATCAACTGTAATTCTTTTTAGCAATAAAAGGAGGACTCAAACAGTTAAAGTTATCTTCAGTTTACCCACATTCTAATTGTAGAGACACACATGCAACTGAAAAATTACAGCAGTGGGCATTAAGATAATTAATTACAGCATGTCATAGGAAGATGAGGATAGAGGATGACAGATTTAATTCAAAGGGAGACTTCTCAGCATAAATGATGCTTAAGTCAAGTCTTAAAAGTGATTATAAAGTCAGGTTAATTTAAGGATGTCTATAGCAGTGTGATTCACTTATAAAGGATCAGGTTAAAAAAGGTATAAGGGCATAAAACAGCTGGAATAAAAACAGGCAATTAAATATATCATTGAAAATATTCCTGATATATTTAATGGATATCAAATAAATGCAGTAATTATATTGTCAGAGTAATAGCTGAGAAATGCACAAAGGATAGAAAAGTTAAGACTATAAAATTCTTGTTTGGTTAAATGAGAAATTTAAACAGTTTCCTACAATGAGAAAAAAATTACTGAATATTTTTAAAGATCAAAATGAAGAGAACAGATTTGCATATTTGAAAGCCTCTTTTTCCATTCTCATCACATTATGGAAGCTGGTTAAAGATGGTCCTTTGTAAATGAGAACGGAACCTAGAGGTCGAGGGGAGGGAAAGGGTACGTAAAAAGAATTAAGACGTGCTATGTACCTGTACCAGCTCCCTACAATGAATGTAATTATTATTACTGTAAATGTGTACTAATAAAAATAAAATAGTTTTAAAAGTGGGGTAATATAATTGAGGGCTGGGAAAATATGGTGATCTAGGCAGATGGCAATAGAAGAGATAGAATATAAAAGACATTAACATAATAAACAAGACTTGAAAATTCAGTATGAATTCTATTGAATGAAAAAAATAAATTGCACAGAATAAATGTACACAAAACCGACAATCTGTAGAAATGCTTCATTAACAAATACTTTTAAAATATCCATTCTCCAAGGCACACAGGATTTGGAGAGAAAAGTAACATAAGCGTGACTGTCTTGGAACCCAGAAACTCTTCCCTGGCTTCTGGGGCATGGGTGTGACAAAATATTTGGACTGATAGAAATCAAAATTGTCTGGTGTTTTAAAAATGCTGAATTTGGATCAATGGGGAAAATGCATGTATTTTCTTTTAATTATTTTTTAAAAATAATCTGGGATTAAGATAATGAGCTAGATGAGAATCAAGACTTGTCATGTAGAGGTACAAGATCCCAACAATGAATGTAACAGTACTGTATCCCTAAAATGTACCAATAAACTCAATTAAAGCTGAAAAAAAAAAAGAAACACACCTAGTGCAAAAAGAAGCCCATAGACTGAAAGTGAAAAGATAGAAAACAATTCTCCATGTGACAGGAGCCCGGAAAAAAACAGGGGTAGCAATCTTATTTGCAGACAAAGTAAATTTCAAACCAAAACTGAATCTAGTATTATTGATGTAGGATGGTACTGTATCATACCTCTATGAATGTAAAATATCTAGTACCTGCTTTATGATACATAGTAGGGACCGTGCTTTATCAGAGCTACATTTAATGATATTACTCTAGAATGTTCTCTTTCCAGAGGATGATTAAGAGGCTAATAGAAAAAATGGTGCCAGGTACCACAACAGCAACAGAACTTTGCTGTTTTCTGGATATTATTCTTTTCTTTGGTTTTTTTTTTTAATGGAATGTGCTGAATGTCTATAATTTTGTTCAGATGACTGCAGAACCTGGAAAAGCTGTTGCTGCTATT